TTTTACAGGGAACGATGCATTCCATCTTAGTTCTCAAACCTGAGCTTTAATTTGAACCACATAATTGGTTTTAATATAAACTAAACCAGTAATAATTATGCAATTAAGCACTGAATAAAGTTAGTTTTAAGGTAATATATAAGTCAATGGTTTTAGGACGATAATATAATTTCTTTTGAGTAGTTGTGCGAAACAATAAAAGTTCAAGAACACACGGACACAAGCAATCTTGTAAAACAGAGAATTAGGGCTCTCTGTTGAAGTTAAAAGTGAAAATATATTGAAATATGTACTTTTAAGTATCGTATAAGATTTTATATTTTCCTAGAAGCAAGTTAAAATGATCAACAGTTTCATATTATTAGTATAACCTTAAGACCTATAACTTATAACTGCCAAGTATATTAAATTTAAGCATTGTATGTTGTATGTTGGCAAATGTATACGATATTTTTTACCATAATAAAAAAAACTAAAACTAAAACCTTAAATTTTCACTAGGACTGTGTGATAGGCACTCCACTCCCCACTCCCCGCAGTAGGCACAAGAACGATGCCTGCGTTTCCTCGCTAAATGGCTATCGCCTTTGAGCAAAAAAAATTACTAACCCTCTTCTCACCAGCGGCAACGACCAGTATGTTAAAATAATATTAAAATTTACAGGCCTTATTTATTTTATTAAACTTTGTTGCACAAAAGTGTACAAAGCCGGACTTAACGCTTAAAGGCGATTCTTTTTAAAGTCAACCAGTAAGTAAGCAGAGAACACTACTCTTTAAAACCAATATGATTTGAAAGAGAAAGAATAAAGGATCAAAAAACTTACTACATATATGAAAATTAACAAAGAATATATATTACATATACAATTATACATTCATCACTTTATCAAGTCAGGGCGTGTCCAATTTACAGTATACAGTTTTATCCAACGCCCCAACATTGGTTAGTCCCATCTTTCCGCTAGTACATTCAGGTGATCTTGCTGTTATTTAGTTGGTATCTAATATATAGTTAAATCATATTATTTCTCTTTACATAACACAATGAGACACACGGTTAATAGCTTCATTAATGTCATAATACGGCCATAAATTTTAACAAGAACAAATTAGTGGGCGACCTCAAGTTACTAACTAGAAAGTTGTCATATAACAAGTCGTTAAATGCAACTAATGCGGGCAATTTTTTGAATTACCTTGTAACATAGACTAAATTTCACAGTACGCGAGCAACCCGGGTTTGACCCCGCCAGCACCAATGAAACTGTTAACTGCAATTTTAAGTGCTGAGTTGATTTATTATATTTGTATATATTTTCGCGGCAATGGAAGAAATCATCGCGAGGAAACCTGCATGTATAAGAAATAAAAAAAAAGTTTTCGAAGGCCTTGCTCTGAAACTTTCTCCCCAAGAGGATAATATTATAGGCTGTAACTTCATAGACTAAAGACCCACAAAGTACCGACTCCTATTTTGCTTCAAATTTATAAAGTAATATATACACAACCACGTAGTAAACCCACACTAGAGCTTTGTTATGGTTTTGGCACGAATGGAGCGCCTCGACCGGAGAAGGACCAAGCTCTCACAGCATACCAACGTAAAATAGCAGCATATCACTGTTGTGTTTAGCGTGATGGGTCCATCTCAGTCCTCAGGAGTTAAAATGCATCTGTATGTTGATTCTTAATCGATGATGTAGATATCTATGAGCCACAGCATCCACTGTATCAGGTAGACTGTGCTACTTTAATGGCGGCTGTACACGCTCGTCTCGTTGCCTCGTGTGCCTCTCGTCGCGTAAAGGCTCGACAGTCGACACGACAACACACCATGTACACACTCGTTGTATCATTTGAACTCAGTATGCCCGCTGAGATGAATCTGTTGCTGCGTTTTGCCTTTGAGCTGTTACAATTTTAAGCTATTGCATAGCTTCTATCGCGGGCCTTGAGCGCGGGGACCGAATCCAGAAATTCCTTAACGAAAAAAAACCTCACGCTCCCCACTCCGACGGGCACGGAGGTGTGGCGTTGAAAGCCGTGCATCGTCTAACGTCGTTTTAGTTCGGCAGACTTCGGCACTCGGCAGAGTTCGGCACGGTGTTTGTGTGCGTGCGACTAGACGAATACGTGTACACTAGCTGCTAACTGAATGATAAAAATTCCTGAATAACCTACATGTATTGTAAGATATTAAAAATATTTTAAACAATATTAACTTCTCATTTATTCAATAAGAGAAAAAAAATTGTTTTCTTATCGGTCACCACTCTCAAAAAGTGTAACTTGATTTAATATCAAAGACTTAACTGCATAAATAAAATAAATAAATAATTATAATTGCATAAGTTGATAAAAAATGCTATGGAATAGCTTTACCGCGGCAGTCACCGAGTGCCACACGTATTTTTTTATACATTTACTAAAAAAATAAAATTATTAAGCCATTGCGAAAAAGGGAGATGGTGGATGGTTTCTATCACAGTACTATGTATGGTGAATGGAATAGAGTAGGTGCGCTCTCGTTTTCATCGCAAGGCTCACGAGACTCCCTTTGACTCGAGCGCAAAAAACCGACACACTTCCGAGAGCGCACGAGGGCCACGAGACGCGACGCGACGCGACGAGACCACAATGTACTCGTACTCGACCTGTCTCGTGGTGTCTCGACACGGTAATTTTATCTATACACTATTCCAACTCCATACAAACGGACGAAGCAAGAGCTATACCTACGCGCCTCGATCTCGGCATGCGATCGGCATGCAGGCAGTCGTGACTACCGCAGTGATGATTTTGTGGAATATGTATATATAAAAAATGGAGGAAATAAATAAATAATAAATCCGAACTTCATTTAAAATCAAACATATAAATTGTAAAGTAGCTGCAGGTATCTACAACCAAGTAAAAGGTATTCCTTTTCTCCACCTTGTCCATGTTTCCCAAAACAATTTTTAATTAAGCTTTACATTAGAATGCGGATTTTTTATACTTAAAAATTTAATAATAAAGCATTTCGTACGTCTGAGCCGTAAATGTATAAGACCGATTTGTTATTCAAACATAAACATGGTTTTTTAATTAAATCTACCAATCAAAAAACGACACGCATTTTTATTGAACACTTCCTAATCAATTCATAAAGTACCTATTATATATTTGTTTATATAAAAAAGTATATTTAAGTACAATGATAAAACTAAATGGAAACACAAAGTAGGCAAATGTAATAATGCTGGAGGCAGGCAGCCCTATCACATGTTTACGTACCGCGCGGCTGTAGGCATTTATTTCAAAGATACGGCCGAGTTACAATACTGTATAGATAATATTACGGTGGTCTCGGCGAGCATGTACAGCTGGCATAAAATCTAGCTTTAAACTAAAAGAAAATGGTAGCGTTAAATTGTTTACTTTCTTAGTGAAAATGTTTTTATATAAAACTTACGTGGCAAACGTCCTGCCACCTCCGGCCACCTGATAAAAGGCGGCTACTGAAGCCCATGAATAAATAATCATGGTCTGGAGGAAGGTATGTGCAACCGACTTGAAACAAAGAAGGCTACATATGCATTATCACCTCTCATCTCTGGGGTCTAAGATTGAATGCCTGAACACAAAAGTACCCCTTCAAGTGCCATAAAAATCCCATGCAGTCGCATGTGCCTGGCAAATCCCGAGCAGTCGCATGCGACCGCACCCATCCACAGCACTTAAAACCATTAAAACTTATATTTAGAGACTACTTTTCTATGAAGAAGTTTAGCATTAAAAAATCTATACAAAATTTTCTATCCTGTGGTTTAAACAAAAGTCAGGTTTTACTTAATTACAAAAAGGTTTTATTGTATTTTGATAACAAAAAAAACATACCAAGCTAATGTCATATTTCAACATATATTACTCGAAATTATTTATGTAAAAAGAAAAATTTTCACACAAAAACTTTCATTACAATTTGATAATAAAACACTATACTAAAACACTAATAAAACACTAGAAAAATCCAAAAATCAACACAATAATATTCACGCGAAAATGGCGTACGAAATGAGCGTAGATTATAAATAAATATTCATAGGATAACAGTTTTTTTATTGCACTAGAGGATAGAGTATTTCATATTGATCATATAATGCCAAACTTCTTTATAGAAAAGTAGTCTCTATATATAAGTTTTTATGGGTTAAAGTGCTATGGGTGGGTGCGATCTCATGAGACCGCTGGGGGTTGAGAGGGTACAGTCACTGCAATTTGGTGGTAGAAAAAGATACCTCCCCAGACTACTTACCATAACAAAGATACCCTACCACCTAGTTTTCTACCTAGGACGAATAGGCTGTCTTTGTTATAGTGCGAGGTTCATCATGAGGTCCTTACATGGTTTGAAGTACCAGAAACGTCAAGGAACAGACTTATCTTTTCAAAACCTTTTACTGAAAAAAGTTAAACACGGCAGAGTTCATACCAGTATCAAAATTATGGTTACAGCGCAAATTGTTTTATTTTAATTTTGCAAATGAATTAAAATTCTTACAAAATGTCAAAGTAATAATAGATTTGAATATAGGTGACCAGCGAGCACATACCCCACCTGATGGTAAGTGGATGCATGAGCATTTATAAAGATGTACATCTATCCTCGATTAAGAATCAAAATGCGGGTGCATTTGTCACTCTGAGGAATAAGATGAAATGCCTCGTATCCAATAAAACAGTTCTCCAGTTCTCTTCCGACGGGAACCGGTTTAATTATTGTGAGCAAAGAAAATTTTATAATATATTTATCACCCTGAATGTATGTGTCAGGAAAGATTCCTTAATTTTTCGGAGATTTATAGGTAATAGTTACGAAGAAAGGAGGTCTATTTAAAGAGACACATATTTTCATGTTAATTTGTTGTTTTGTGGTACTATTAAAATCAGTCTTTTAAATTCCCCAATATCCTTTCTTAACAAAACATTGAAGATTTTAATTTCTTTTTCAGAAAATGGCGCTATCTTGGCAACACAAGTTTATCACAACTATTTTCTTTCTAACATTACATATAACGTCATCATCTAAAACGAATTCCAGGCCTGTATATGAAGTAATAAATGAACAATCAAGAGCTGATGATAAGTTAATAACAACCAGCGATTCTGCGAGGTTGCCCTATGGTAACCCACTTGCCGGTAACTCACAACAAAATGCTAAATTGCATGCACGCAATCAACAGGCGATGTTCAACGCTGAAAGAGTACGGCAGCATAAAGCTCAGCTGCAGAGATGGATGAAAACACCTAAAATAATCGACAGCTATATGCGAGCTTATCACGAGTCCCAAGAGAGCCATCAACTAGCATTAGAACAGCAGCAAGCCAATGTAAAAGAAAACCAACGAAAGCCAGCACATACAAAAGAATTTATAAAAAGAACACAAAAATCCGAGACTGATACGACGAAGTTGTCCAAAGTAGATACTGTTGTGAAACCAGAAAAGATGCGAAATCAAAGGTCATACGGTTCTGTTGAATATCAACAGTACTTGGAGCCAAAAAGATATCAAACTATTTATATTACTTCTCCATCTACTTATGGTCAAGGAATGGCTATAAAATCAAACGCGATAAATGGAATAGTTCATTCCCAACCATCTACTAAGCCTTATGTCGAAGCCTTAAGTTCAGAGTATGTTTTCCCAAAATACTATCCTGCACATAACTACAAATCTGTACATGACTTAGAAACACTAAATGCTCTTCTGAGTAAAAACCCCGGCGAACAGCTTTCAGAATTTAACTCATTAATAAAAGCTGCAAAAGACAACTCTGAAACCCATGATAAAGTACTAGAGACGCCTACTGATCTATACTTCTATTTAAAAGATCCTTCAAACAAAGCTTTGTCAGATCATTACGATAAAACAGCATATGCACAAATACCGAGTACACAAGAAATTGTAAAGGACCATATCCCAATTAAAGAAGAAGTAGACGATGTTGAGGATTCTTGTACAGTCGATTTCGGCACGAGCACCACAGTTAGATTTTTCAACATCAAAAGATATCCAATACTTAAATTCAGAACTTACAAATCAGATTTTAAGCACTGGATATAATCCATTGCAAGAAGAACAATACGATATAAAGGAACATGAAACAAAACCAACTTATGAAGCATTACGATATGGATATCAGCCAACAGCATTTTACAGCACTGATGAAGACAATACAGAAGGAGATTTGAGTGAGCGATATCTTCATCGTAATGCTCAGAAAGGTGTCCAACATTTGTCTGGTGATGGATCAGGAGTATCAGCATATAATGATGAAAATGTAAGTATAAAAATAGATTCACCTATTTACAAAAATATTTCCAGTTTAGATGACCATTTGCTGAGAAAAAGAAGATCAGTATTAGAGACAGACCCTTTCCTTTTATCAAACACAAGTCGTTCCCTCAAGGAAACAGTTAAGAATTCTGAATACAAGAATGATACCCAAAAAGCTTCAGCAGAATCTCTTATTAGATTAAAACCAATACCTAATAGCAAGCGTGTAACTAAATTCGGTACATTCCTAACTACACCAAACTATCCAATTGGGGAGGCAATAGATTACAGTGAAGAAGTTTTGCCAATATATAAAATACCTAAAAGTAAATATGGGGCGCATGAAATTGTTTACGATGAACTAGAAAGTGATAACTATGACGACTTTCCGTCCCTTGACTACGCAGACCCAGTGTCTAAACTATCATCTATAATTTCAATTCCCCATCAAAATGACTTTGCTGAGTCATTTGAAACGTACGCACCATCATCATCTTACGCTGAAAACGTTGAGTTGAAAACTGATTTTACGAAATACAAACAAATTAAACGGTTTCCTAGTTTATCTTCAAATATAGGAACTCTTCATAGTTCAAATGGCTTGACAATACCATCAACATCCTACGGAGTACCAAATTACGGTGATCCAGTCTTTTACAATACACCACACAGCTTTAGAGCTCCAGTTAAATATACTATCCCAAATATTAATGTAGATTTACAAGGCCCGGAGCCAGTTTACTTACTCACACAAAAAGAATTGGCTAAGCTTGTTGGTCATCATAATTTAAATATAGAGCATTTAGAAGTATATCAATTGCAAAGACATAAACGACCAAGTCATTTTCCTAGAAAGTTTAAAAAGGGGTCACCATACAGAAACCGTAATTTCAGGAAAAACATTCTAAAACTGCAGAAGTTAAATGTTATTTAACCAAACTAATCATATCTTAATTTATGTTTTACTAGCCGATATTACAAACTGACGGCTTCGTAGGTTAAGGGAGTTGTTGCAGAGGCCCCGGGTTCGATTCTTGAGTCGGGCTGTTTGTGCTTGTGCAATTCATGTAGGTAAACGCGAATATTTATCAACATTGGGGTAACTTTAAAAAAAAAATAGAATTTTCATTAAGGGTTATCGACTTTATCCCGAACGAAGTCAGTATTTGCGAACCACAAATGTTATTAATTCTACAGATATATATCAAAAATTGTTCAAACAAAATTATTTAATGTTATTATTTTTATAGTAGGCTTTATTTAACTTAGCATAAGTTATTTATGATTAGTAATAAGATTTTAATTTAATTATCTATATACGTATCAATCTATAATGTAAAACATTTACAACAATAAAAAGCTTAAAACTAACTCTTATAATATTTTATTAAGGTGCTTGTTTGAGCAAATAGCCGCGCTAGTAGTTAACTGTAAGGAGCTATCTTCTTGTTATTAAAAAGACATATCAACTAATAAAAATCTAATGAATTTCTACATACCTAATCTTGATTCCATAATAGCCAATTCCAATTTTTTTTAAAGGAGTAAATACTTAATGAATCTCCCTACAACTAAACCACAGAATTGCGAAATAATTATTGATAACTTGCATCTCCTCATAAAGTAAGCATTATTTAATTTTGCGATTGACAATAATGGATAGGCATTTTATTAATTAACAATTTGATCTATTTAGTTTTTTCAAAGGACTAAAATTCGATTTTATAAAGGAAATATTTTAAAATTTGGGCGTACTACTTCTTACGTGATAGTAGTAGCGAGAGCGCATGGGGTGTTAGGACCGAACGCTCAAGGTCGTTCGCTAGGAGTAGCACCTCAAACAGTTAGGTTAGGTTATCCGTTAAGATTAGGTCCTTATCTTCCTACAAGTCCGTCTAGATCTAGATGGTTACCACTCTCGTTAACTATTGCTGCCACCAAATAACCAACAGAGGGTCATTTGCCATAGTGGCCACACTCAAAGTTCATGTTTTTTTATTACTTTATGTTGAAATTTAAAAAAAAGCAATACTAATAGACGGAGAGACAGCGCCTAAAAACTGTTTGAATTTACTGAGGCTAATCGATTTACTTGTCCCGTACAAGGCCCGTCACGTCATAGCGCACCTTAGTCACCTGTTCTCAGTTTCGTTTGACTGACCGCAGTGTGTTTGTGTACACAACCATTGTAATGAACTATAAAAAAACTAGCCTTATTAAATTCAAACAGTTTTTAAGGCGCTGGCTTTTGGATCTTGGACCATAAGTTGTTAAAATTTTCCTACTTTAGTTATGTGAAAACAAGAAAAATACACTTATGAGTATTTTAGTGGTTTAGTAAATAAAATGATAATGAATTTATATAAAAGTAGTTTCAAGTATTTATTAAAATTAATATTTAAACAAACTATTTTATATTTACACCATACCATACCATAAACACTCACCCCTGCCACCCAGGGGGGTAGGCAGAGACTACAGACTTCCATTTAGCACAATCCTCACATACCTTTCCCACCTCCTGCACATTCATATACCTACGCATACATGCTCGTCGGTTAAGGGTACTCCAAATTTGGCCCATTTTCAATATATCGCCAATTTGGTCGATAAACTTTCGCCTACGACGTCCCTTTCCGATTCTTCCATTCACTTTTGCAACATAAATTTTCTTTGTCACTCTTTCCTCATTCATTCTTTCCACATGACCAAACAACCGAAGCAGTCTTTTCTTAATCCTGGTCACAGCATCATCTAGCAAACCACACTCTTCTCTTATCACACAATTGAACCTTTTATTGTTACACCTTATCTAGAATTCAATAATAACTTCCATAAACGCGATATTCAAAATTGAAACTAGTGTAACTATTAAGAATACTATAAAATATAACCCGTCAGCAGAAGGTTTGATTTTTTTATACTGTTTCTGGATGTCTACACCCTTCTGCCTTACCATACCGTACCTTTACGCTTATCGGTAGAAATAGATAAGAGATTGGAAACTTGACCTACACAGACAGCAAAGGGAATCTACCATATAGTATGTCCTAAAATGGCGGGCATGTAGGGTTGCCAGATTCATCTGCATTCTTCCGACATTTTAAATGATCTCCAGACTCCCGACGAAACTCAAAATCTCCAGACAAACAGCTTACAAAAGCTTAGTTAACTTTGCGGTAAATTGTTTGAATTATAAATATTTTTTGAATACTAATAAAGGATGCAAATTCGCGGACTCTAAAGTCCAGTGCCAAATACTTGTGGCAATCTAAAAATTTAATGTACTTAAATAAGATAGATAGATAATTCTTTATTGTACACTAAATCAATACATAAAAGAAATAAGAAGAAAAAAATAGTGTCACAATGGGCGGTCTTATCGCTAAAAGCGATTTCTTCCAGACAACCTTTGGATGGACAGGATCGCAAAAAGCAGTAAATTGTGTGGTTTGGTGATGCAGAAACAATATTTATAAATATATCCATATTTTATATAATATAATTATAAATAAGCAACAAATAAATACAAAAAATATATGTAATAATAAGTTATGTTAAAAGCATTTTGTAGCCTCTTAATTAAAAAAATAAACTTTTTATTTTTAATAATTTTTCAAACTTTGTCCAGATATTTTGTTCTTTCGATCTGGCAAACCTACGGGCATGAACTGTCGAATAGCCTAGTGTTGTGATGGCGGCGTAAGACGATTTTTATTGCCGTTTCGTCACTTGGTGTCACATATCTCATACCTTCCGATAGATGTCGATAAACCATGTCTTTGAAATACATAGACTGGCGACAGGCTGGCTACGCAGTGAAGGGGCTGTAGCGTCAAATGCTCACGTCTTGTACTGCAAACTCTGGTACTACAGAGGAAGAGGCTCATGTCCTGCACTGGATTTAAAAGGGCTGATAAAGACAGAGAATTATCTAAAAGTTACTATTAAAATATAGCAGCACGAATTGTGGTTCAAGTGCATTATGGGGTTTAATATTAAAATAAAACGAAACTGCGGTTCGTTAAAGCCAAATGTTTATTCGAATTTTAAATGCAAGTGATTAGTTATTTTTCAAAAGACAAAAAAAAATTGTATAGTTTTTAAAATTTTATTAAATAAAAAGAAGGCATTAAGCTATGAGTTTTACAAAAATATTTATTAAAAGAAATTTACAAAAAGTTGTGGTACTTAAAATTTGCGGGTATTTCCACCTCTGGCCCTGATAAACATCTGCATGCGGTTGGACATGCTGTGAAATATGTTTTTAATTTCCATTTGTGGTATTTCTTCCCAGGCGCCCACCAGCGTTAACTTCATTGACATCGCTAGCCGCATTGTAATACATTTCGTTGTATGCTTTATAATGTTTCTGCTTTTACAAAAAGTAACATAGCATACAAAGCAATGTACGCTTTCTATACGTGGTAGAGTCTCGCTGCAGCTATATTATGGTTGTAGCACAAATGGGTCAGCTCGACCGGGTTAGGACCGCGCTGTCACAGAATACAAGCGTCAAATAACAGCTTAATGCTGCTGTGTTTCGTATGGTGAGTGTAGAGAATCGGAGACAATGGAAATGAGGCATTCTATTTTAGTCTTCATTTTGACATTATTTTTTCTTATTCAAGGATAGATATCTATGGGCTACAGCATCCACTTACCGTCAGGTGGACTGTGTGTTCGTTTGTCAACCATAGTCTTCAAAAACTTCCAAGAGATGTTCATTTTGATGTCAACGAAATGATCTAATAGGCCTGAACTGTTTCAATTGTCTGAAAGTCTCTGAAAGGTTGGTACTGGATCGAAGTTGCCTTTTAATCATATCCCAGATATGATTAAAAGACTAGACTATATGTAATATATTATATATGCATGATGTAAAGTATATAACTAGATGGCTTCGAGCTAGCACCCCAATTTTTAAATTTTCATCTCCAGATAGTAATTATTCACTCAAATTGCGGTTATATGTTGCATTAAGATAAATTTTTCATTACCGATTAATCCCACGTATGAAACATGTTTTTGGAGCATCTCTTCAACGTTTCACTGTCGTTAGATGACCTTCAACTACTACCAGCTACTGTAAGAGCGTTTAAACTGGTCCCTCCCGAAATCATAACGGATCCACCATGAAGATTAACGGTTTGCCTGATGGTGATTAGAAAGAACTCTCTCTTCTCCCCACACGTTCACGGCCGTCTGTTTTGACCAATCGGCATTCATCAGTGCACAGAACTTTACTGCCATACCTGTGAGTCCAATTTGAGCGTTCACGAGTGAACTGAAGTTGTAGTTTACGCGATGTTACCCGAGCAGTTCTGGACTTCGAGCTGGTCTTCGCATACGCAGGTTCCAGTCCTCCATTGTTCTTTCTATTGTCCGCTCACTTACGTTAAATCTTTTGTTGTTTGTAGGCGCTGCCGTATTTCGAACCCAGTGGGGCAGCGATTTCTTAAACTTGCTTAATTAACAAGGGTAACAAGTCAGTAAGGATGAAGAGCTGATTCATAATACACGCTTGTGCCAAGTACAGATACCTGACTCTCTGTTAAACATAATTTTTTTTGTAATGATACTTTTGTTTCCTCGGTATTACCACCAGAATAAAGATGCTGAGGAGCCTGAGTAAAATAGACATCCGTTTATAACTATACCCATAAATATTTATTTTCTTAACACTATAAAAAACTTCCGGCAATTAACCATTTGTTTAAGATCACAGTATTATGTAAACTAGCAAAAATTATTATCCCTTTCGACTACCTCGATGGTCAAGCGTCTAGTGATCGTAAACGCAACTGTGTTCGAAACCCGGGCCAAGAAATCAGTTATTGAATTTTTTTAACAAGAAATTCTCAGTAGCCCATAGCCAGGCAGTTGGCTGTGTTTAACCCCCGTGTCACAGAAAGCACGTAAGTCTGTCCGATCACTCCGGGCTCTTATCGGATTGAGGCAATAGAAAGTGTGGGTGCACTTGCTTGCGCATACACTCGGACACTATAATCCTGTCCTGCGCAGATGACTTGTCTCCATTGAGACTGGCCCCCGTACAAGATTCCGCCTGGAGGGTATTATTATCTCTTTCTAATTATTACCCTGTCAATTTTCGCATTTCCATAAACTACATGAAAATATAATTACATCGTAACGTAACATTTTTTCACAGCTCCACTACGCCGCAAACTACGAATTCGGCTACAGGGTTCGAGACGTTCACAGCGGCAACGATTATGGTCATCACGAGGCGAAAAATGGAAAAGAAACTAGCGGGCACTACCACGTCCTCCTCCCGGACGGACGGATGCAGAATGTACGATACTCTGCCGGCCCTGAAGGTTACCACGCGGATATTTCTTATGATCACTATAAATAGTAACAAAGTAGTAAGTTTAGTGTAAAGTAGTATATAGTAACAAAGTAGTGAGTGTATTACTTACTGGTGCTTAAAACTGTAAAGTGTGTTTATAGGCAACTCTGTTTGCCTTCGTATAAGAGCGACATCTATCTATTTATTTGAAAATCACACTGCTGGCCCAGTAGCGTTAAACAATTCTTACATATATGTGACAAATATTGTATTACCTACAGTTATTACAGTCACCATTAAGACGACATTTGTATAACCTCTTTGTCATATAACGTTTCATGTTAACGTTTCCTAGTTTTGTGTATACTTCTCTATTACCTTTAACAGTCACTCCCAAACTACGTTCAAGGCCTGAGTGGAGAGCGTTTTTCGCTGCATACAACGTGGCGTCATGATAAGCGCACGTTATTCTACTGCAGTATCCTGAGTGAACAATCAACAAATACACCACGACGTCACACGCCTTTCTGAACGCTCTGAGGGCTTTATGTAGAAACTCAGTGAATAGCGTGCAGCGGGGCGGACGTCTGGAGTACAAAACAGACTTGTTTGATTTTTTACTGGGCTACTCGTCGCTATGTGCGCAGACCATTCAGACCTTAAACAACACCCGTGCATTATAGTATGTGATACCATATTTATACTAGTTAAATAATACCTATATTGTTGATTAATAATCGCGTGTAACTAGAGATTAGAGTGCTATATAAAAATTAAAGACAAAACAGTGAAAAACGTTTATTTATGAATTGACGACAGTGGTTATGATTACGCAAGGTATTAATTTTAATCTTAAATAATCTTAACGTACCTTAAATATTGTATATTATATACTGTTAAATATCTAACAATAGCGCATTTTCTTACTCAAACAAATTGCTTTATAAAATATTTATTTGCTAACACAGTAAAGTAATATGTGTGGAAAAATATTATGACAAACACAAATACTGATAGTTTCTTTTGTTGCTTTGTTATGGCGCGCAATTCAACGTCAAAATGGCCTCCATGGGTTTTACCGCGAAAATATATATACACATCAAACGCTTCCCGCCCGATTTAGTCGAGAAAAGAGAAAATAACGAGAAAGTGTGTTTTTATGAGCGCGTTATTTTTAGATAAGTCTATATTTTCTCTTGTTACTTGTCAATTACGTGAATTGTTGCGTAAATGTGAATAACCATTTCGTAAGTACGTGATTACTCGTGACATATAAGTAGGGTTGCCGCATTTGGCTATGGTTTCGTCAGGACAGTTCTCATGGCGGTGTTAATTTACCGAATTTAAAAAGGTGGAGGTTGTTAATTCGACTATAGGTTAACCTTTTTAATTTATGTTATACGATATCCTAATTCGTCAATATGGCTGATTTTTTTATCGTTTGGCCGTTTTCCGAGTTGTCGGTGCGGAAGCGGTGCGGATTCGTTTCACTCGGTATACGCGGTACGAAAGCTTGCCGAGCACATATATGTATTTTAATATGCGTCTTCTAATTGGCGCGGTATGTACTGGAGCGGGGAGGGACCGTTTCGTTTTACCGCGTCTCAGGATGCGTGTCTAGCGACCGCTCGACATTTACTGCGCACGGTCGTGCAAACAAGATGGCAGAGCGATATATTCACACCGTTTTAGTAGTAGAAATCGAATATTCTCTAAACCTTGTATTTTGCTTTGTTAATACTGTAGTCAACAAATTCAAAAGCTCTTCGTAAGTTTTTTTTTGATATTCTATACATCAATAAAAAAATCGTCATCTTGGGAAAGTTCTTGGGCCGCAACAAAAAGTCGATAATTAATATTATTTTCGATATATGGATGACGCCAGTAACGTTTTCTTTTTTTACGTAGGGAACAAACATAACAGCACGCAAAAATATCGTCATCACTCGAAGACGACACTTTCTGTACTGTAGGATTTTATACCGATAAGTGAGTAGCTGAAGGCAGCGCGGTATCGTTTCGGTACAGATCTTAAAGATCCCGCACTGCTCCCGCACCGACAAGTCAGAAAACGGCCTTAGAATACACTTCGCACCACGGTTGAATTGCTATTTTACACATACATGTGTAAAATAGCAGGAGATAAACTTCAATCGACGATAATTGAATTTTTTTTAATGAAATTTAGGGAGACAAACTGCTGGTCCTCGACTAACAATCAAAATGTAGATGTTTTATCATTCCTGAGGAACCAAGATGGAATTCCTCACTACCAATAAAAAGGGTATCAACTTCTCGGCACTCACCATTTGAAACGAAACACAACAGCATTAAATTGCTATTTCACGTTAGTATTCTGCATAAGCGTAGGCTTTACCGGTTAAGCCGAGCCGATTGTTATGAGTTATACGAATATATTAATATTAGAAAATAATATATGAAAATTTGAGAATTTGGAAAAAATACACTCGATGCTAAAATAAAATTGTAGACGTAATAACTCTGCGTAGTTTTTATTTATGTCAAATATAAGTTTAGTCGGGTGATCGTGACGCAGGGTAAAATAACGGAGATAGTCCCGCTAAATCGGAACGGATGGCAACCCTACTTATGAGTCATTTGAGTCAGTGTACAATTAAAGGCTATTATTTGTTGCGTTTATGAAATGCTTCGGTGTCGCCATGACCAGTGACCGATGCAGTTGTTCATAAATGTCAACTTATTGACGATCCAGTTTTTACAACACACAAGTGTATCATGGATTCTTTTTTATAGAATAAGGGTGACAAGCGAACATACAGTTCACTTGATGGTTAGTGGAGGCTGCGGCCTATAGACATCTACAGGCTTACTCTTGAAAACAATTCCGATCGATCGGGATTGAAATTATAACGTTTGGTACTCTTGAAAGCGACTCTAGCGCTAAATTAGTTTAGTATTGCGTGGTGATTGTGTGAACTAATTGAGATTGGAATTGAAATTGTCCAAGCAAAATCGGTACTCCTGACGCACTTTTGACAATTAGTTGACAGTAGCGTATTGTGTTCCGGTATCAAAACGCAGATGCGTTGTCACCCCTGAGGACTAAGATGATATGCCTCGTTACCAGTAAAAAAGGTTGTCCGGTTCTCTACCCTCACCATACGAAACACAGCAGTATTAAGTTGCTATTTTATGCTGTAGTTAGCGTAAAATAGTTTGTTGTAGTGTAGCTTTTAGTCACACTGCAGTGCATCATGACTCCATCGGGGTCATGACAAGGTGTTTTAAAAAAATCTAATATTTCCCTATTACATCACTACAAGCCACAACTAGTACTTACACTACAGACCATAGGTCTTCCCGGTAGATTACCACCATCTGTATCCATCGATTCAACATACTAAATGCATCATCTTTTAATAATTGACTTAATATACAGAAGCGCTGACCATGTGATGACGAAGAGAATCCTTGACACGTCACGTGAGTGTCGTAGGAGTAGACTATAGGTAATCGACGTAGTCATAGCATGGCAATCGAAAATTGGCGGCATAACCATCTAACCGTTTACCGTTACGGCTGAACATAAGCCTCCTTGATTGATTGTCACATAGGGGGGGGGGGGGGTTATTTGCCATAGTTTTATATGTGGTAGAGCATATTAGTTGTAGCACGAATGGGTTGGCTCGACCGGGGAAGGACCACGCTCTCACAGAATACCAGCGTAAAATAGCAGCTCAATGCTGCTGTGCTTCGTATGAGTGTAGAGAATCTTCATCTTCGCATCTGCATTTTGATTCGTAATCGAGGATAAATGTAGATGTCATAGACAACACAGCATCCACTCACTATCAGGTGGACTGTGTGCCCGTTTGTCATCCATATTCTATAATAAAAAGTTGCTACGATTAGCAAGCGCGACGTCAACCGTATTTTTAGTCGTTATTTTGAAGATGCTGCTGCCCATTTGATTTGTTTGCTGTCGCCTCATACGACACCCACGTGGTAACATGGGACTCGTTTACGTCAAACGTAAAATACACGGACTGGGTAGAGGGCGTCAAAAGTGCGGGACATCTGGCACTCCGATCGTCAATCTGCCCGCAAAACGTAAATATTAAGGCAAATCCTCCATACATAGACTTTTAGGAGCTAAAGAAGAATTAACTCTACACTTTTAGGAGGTGATAGGACCCCTATTTCTGTTGTCAAATCGTAGCGCTCGCAATTCTGTGTTTCGGCCTGAAGGGTAAAGAGAGGCGGTATACTTACAGGCTGTGGCTGTGAGGTAGCATCTGTATCGTAGTTCGAAGGTATTTTTGTATAGAATAAGGGTGATAAACGAGCACACAGTCCACTTGATGGTAAGTGGATGCAGTGTTCCAAAGACAATCTATATTTAACCCCGATTAATTATCAAAATGCAGACGCGTTGTCACCCCTGAGTACTAAGATGGAATGCCTCGTTTCCAGTAGAAAGGGTCTCCGGTTCTCTACACTCACTATACCAAACACACCAGCATTAAGCTCCTTTTTTTCCGCTGAGTTCTTTGAGAGTGTCGTCCTACCCCGGTCGAGCCGACCCATCAGTACTACAAGCATAATATAGTTGCAGAATGGGTCTACAACTTTCAAAAGGTGGCCGCAATTGCGCATGAGGTGCAGTAACCACTTACCATGGGTCTCCGGTTCTCGTCACACTACTGCTGTACTGCAGCATTGTTCTACAATTTCACGCTGATATTATGTGCGAATGTGGTTCTTCCATGATGGAACAGACCCACTCGTGCTACAGCCCTGATACTACTATGTCACTAGTTGTGACTAGTCAACTTAAAGTTTTATTTTTTAATAAATTTCAATGATAAAAATTATAACGTTAGTGCAATTTTGAAAATCATTTTAGGGTGTTTAAGGCAATTTAAAAAAATGTAAATACTTCTTTGGGCACGTGCAATCACTTCAAATTGGCTAGTGAAATTTTAAATGTTTAATATGTTTTTTTTTTTGTTTAGTCTCTCTAAATGTACATGCTCTGTAAGTAACTAGAATAAAAAGTATATACTTAATCAATAAGTTTTAGA